GATAGATAGATAGATAGATAGATAGATAGATAGATAGATAGATAGATAAATGTAGATAGATACATGTATACATGTAAAAACATACAGAGAGATACAGACATAAACACACACATATATACAAACACACACAAAGAGAGAACAGTGGAGCCCTATATTTTTTCTCAACATTATATGATCTTTAAATACCAAGTATTTAGTAATATTCATTTATTGTCTTGTCTATTTCAAAAATGCAGAATAAAACACCATTTCCCAGTCAAATGAAATTACTTTGTTTTATAAGCTGAAGTGATTATCAGTTTTAGCTTTTTTTGACATTCTGGGGGGTCTGGAAGCATTTACTGTGCTTTGTATTAGTGGAAGAGTGCCTGTTCTTTCCTCTTTAACAGAATCCAATACTTATCATGAGCCCAGCAATTTCCATCAAATGGAATCCAATGCATTCAGAATACTGTAAGTAAGGGTTAATGTGGCGCTTCCATTTGAAATCTGGGAGAATGTTAGTGAAGACTGAGAGTTTATTTTGCATCTTTAAGTCTTAAAACACTTAGTTGTGTATTTCAAAGCTCATGCTATCTGAGAGCTGGGTCCATGGCTCTGATAGGTTATGTTCCCTGCATCACCTTCCCTATGCTCCCTGGTGACAAGGCCCCCAGGACAACACTTGCTGCAATCAGCTTCTAGATCAGCAGAGTGCTTCTTGTGCTGGGCTTCAAACCAAAGTCCACAGCCTTAACATGTTGACAGAGGACTTCCATATCATCTGTCTTCTTTTAAAATGTTTTGTAGATGTCCAAAGGTCAGTGGTGAATTTCTAGCTGACTAATGCACACGGATTTAGATTATATGAAAACATACTGGTTTCTTCATCTCTGTAACTAGTGATACAGTACCAAGGGTACACACAAACCCCTTAAGCAGCATCAGTACCATACACCTGCATAGTGAGGGAGATGTGCTAGGTACTGTGTCTAGTGTTTGACATATTCCGATCATTTAAGCTTCACAGCAGCCTGGGAGATGAATTCGATACTTATCCTTATTATACAAAAGGAAATCCAAAGGAAAAGAAATTGCCACTTTGTTCCAGATTACCTGAGTGACAGAGTCAAGTTTGAACTCCTGAACTCTGAATCTATGGTTCTAACCTCAACCAAATCTTTATTTGCATTTTCAGTTCTGAAAGCTTCCTTTTCTCTGAAGAGATGGCTTAAGAAATAACCAGTAGATGAGGAAGGCTCTTAAAGGTTTACACTTTTGATAAAGACCATGTGCTTCATTTGTTCTTTCTATTCCCCCACGCCTATATACCTGTAAAATTAGCTGTGATTGTGAACTTGACACGAGTCACCTCTTAGTGAAGTACAGCCTGGGTCACATGGTGCTATGAATATACGTTTAAAAGATTTTGCTCTAAGAGTATGAACTGGGGTGGTAAGATCCACCCTAAATGTGGGCACCCTTTCCTGGGCCAGACCTTGGCTTGTACAAGGAAGAAAGTGAGTTCAGCTCTAGCATGTATGCATTTCCTCTCTCTCCTCTTGGCTATGGGTGTGATGTGGCTACTTCAAGTTCCTACCACCTGATTTCCCCACACTCCAAATTGTCAGCTAAATCAAACCATTTCTCCCCCAGCCCAATTTTCATTTTGTTGGAGTATTTCATCCCAGCAATAGAGATGAAACAAGCAACCACTGAACCTCTAGTTCTCCCCTTCCCACCGTACTATCTTCAGTGAAACCTCAACACATGTAAACTGAAGAAGGTGTAAGTGCTGAGTCGAGAGGCATGGTCACATTTTGAGTTTCTCGTGGCATATAAAGAAATAATCAGTAGCAAACACTTCCGAAAGCATTAAACTGTCCTTCAACCAAATTCTGCCATATTCTAAGAAAAGTGGTTGATTAACTTGAATCAAGGCTTGAGAGACTCTTTCAGGATATGTCCAAATATGACTTGTCAATAATTTCACAAATCAATTCAAATAAGAATTGCCAAATACTTATCATCCAATATTTATTTTCAGCCCTCTCAAGAACTAGAAGAATTACTACAGGCGGCAGCAGTGAGCAGTTCTTGCCCTCACAGAGTTCAAGCACTATTGAAGAGTAAACAGTAAACAGTGGAACGCAAGGAACAGAGGTTGACTGGACTCATTACTCGTTCACCCTGGACAAAGATTTGCGTGTGAGTAAGGTATGACATTTTCATCAATGAAGTAACAAACTAAAAGAATGAAAAAATGTTAATGAATCTTTAAACTGTATCATGTGGTGTGAAGATGCCACAATGAGAGCAGTCATTGAGGGACCAAATCTATATGGAGAAATGTCAAGGAAAAACCTTAAGGTGGGGGTGGAAGGAATCTCAAGTTTGTGTTTCAGAGAGAATTCAAATCATTTAGACAAATGGCTAAGAATGAATGAGAGGAGGAAGAGAAAAGTCACAAGGATGACCTGAACTCTAGAGAGCCACCTGTGAGCCCGAGGGTAAAGAACAGAGCAGTAAAGCCGTGAATGAAAACTCTAAGCTAGGAGCAATGGTTAGTGTAGAAGGCGCCTTCACTCTTGAAAGTAAAAATACCAATTTCATGCTGGGAAAACATACACTGTGAAGTGCTTCTCTTAATATTACCTATCTCTGTGCCAGAGACCTATGAGGTGATACTATAATTCTCACTGGATGAAGTAGAGGTTCCCTTTTGTTAGTGAAGGAGATGGTTTAGAAGGAAACAGGAAATAAGACAAACATCAATAATCACCATCTCCTGAGTGTAAGCCTTGCCATTGTGTTTTGGAAGTTTTAAAATATCAAACAAAAATCAAACTAACCCTTTTTCTAGGCTTTTAATCACACATCTGTAATTCCATCTCCGGAAAGTTTGAGATAGGAGGATCTCAGATCCAAAGCCAGTGTAAGTGATATAGTGAGGCTCTAATCGAACCGCAAAAATAAGTATAAAGGCAAAGGTAAGGCATGAGCTAAAGAATATAAAAAAGGATCTGATGGCAAACTCAGAAGACTGATGCATGTTGCCTTCATGACAAAAAGACTACTTTCTAGATTTTACCAAAATTTTCATTACCTATGGGACTTGATTTTTCCTTAAGAATCAATAATTCTTACAATGAAATAAACTTTGGATGAGGTGGTTGGAAAATGAATTGTGCTGGGTGTAGTTCTAATATTTACTGTGCAGATTGCTCTCATCTGACTTGTACTTTGTGTTCTTCATGAACAGAACAAGGAAACTGGTGTTGTATTCCACTTTTGAAAGTTCCATATGCATATACATATACGTACACACACACACACACACACACACACACCACATATAGTCCCACTACTAAAGCGTTTAAATACACATACAGAGATCCACATTCAGCTTTGTATTTCAGAGAGTCCTATGGTGTGATAATCTTTTTTTTTTCTTCATTGAATAATCTATCGGGTCTTCATTCTTTCCTACTTTCCTAGTTAACATAAAATCTTTTAAAAATCTTCCTTTCCTGTTTGGATTCAAATGAAACCCTGAGTGTTCTGCCTTTGCTCTTTCAGGCTGTGAATTAAATATTGGAAGAATATCAACCTGAACAGGCCATTTGGATTAGAAGAAGAAGCCCCAGGTAGGAGAGACCAGAGCTCCACCAACTGCTCAAGGCAAATAAGCAAAAGGAAAAGAAAGTCCGTCTGTAATTGGCATGACTTATCTACAAGAAGTTGCTACAGATTTTTCCAAATTTTACATATTGCCTACTTTGCATCCTTCTTTTTTTCAGGATTTTTGAAGATTCATTTAAAAGCAAAACGTGTCCCATGACACTAGCAATTCTTATTTATTTTGAAGAAGTCTCAGCATCACTCCATGCCAGCTACTTAGTAAGTGATAAGAAAGAATTTATTTAAATTAAAAAAGTAGTAAAAATCAAATGTAAAAATCTATGTATAATTCCATGAACTATTTAATGTAATAAGATAATTTATTTTATTTTAGTGAACACTTTAAGAGCACAAAATTAGTGTTTTTATATAACTTCTATAGGTTTCAAATCTATGTATAGTGATATTTTGCTTATGATCTAACAAATAAAGCTTACCTGAAGATCAGAGTGCAAAGCTAGCCACACTAGTCAGCCATACAGGCCACGCAGTGGTGGCACACACCTTTAATTCCAGCAACCACACTAGTTAGTCATAAAAGCTGGCCAGTAGTGTTCCCAAGCTTTGATCCCAACACTAGAGAAGAATATAAGGCAGGATGAGACAGGAATTCACTCTCTTTTCAGTCTGAAAATTTCGTAGAGGCAAGAGCTCTTTAGTGGTTGGCTGCTTAACTTCTCTGATCTTTCAGCTTGAGACCTAATATCTGTCTCTGGGTTTTTATTAGTTGTGCTACATCTATAGCTATTTAAGATATTGATAAATTCAACTAAAGTTACTCAGAAAACCTAAACCTTTATGATTAGAAATAAACCTTCTACATACAAAGGATTATTAGTGGTTCATTGATAACTAATTGAGTATTAAAATGAACATATGTATTTACTATGCAGACCAATTAGTAAAGACAAACTTCTTTTGTTGCACTTTCATACGAAATATTTACTGGAAATTGTTAATTTCAATTCCTAGCACTTAAGATAGACTTCATAATCAGCCATTGAACATACGTGCCATTCCGCACTACCGTCTTCTCTCCCAATAGTCAGCAGTTTTGTGAATGGATTCCCTGTACAACCAGCATCACTGTCCGGGCTCATGGGTCCATGCTCTCCCAGAGGCATACAGCTTGGAGCTGGAGGTGGTGTCCTCTTGAGACTCTGGTTGAATACCTGATGGTCAAGGGTCATGAAAGGAGTTACTTGCTGTCTCTGGACCTTTGGCAGCTGAGGCCTTGTAGAGCTTTCCCAGTGTGCCTGGACCTGCCGATTCAAAAACAAATAAATAAAATGTGGAATACAATGTAGTAAAGTCAGTTTTCCCTGTAAAGGAGTCAGGGCACTAAGATTACTGCAATCAAGAAATGGCAGCCTATAGAACGGGAAAAGATTTTCACTAGCCCCACATCAAACAGAGGTCTGATCTCCAAAATATACAAGGAATTCAAGAAATTTGCCATCAAAAGAAGAAATAATCCATTAAAAAATAAAATGGAGTTCAGACCTAAACAGAGAACTCTCAACAGAGGAATCTAAAATGGCTGAAAGACACTTAAGGAGGTGTTCAACATCCTTAGTCATCAGAGAAATGCAAATCAAAACAACCCTGAGATTCCATCTTACACCTGTAAAAATGGCCAAGATCAAAAATACTGATGACAACTTATGCTGGAGAGGTTGTGGGGAAAGGGGAGCACTTCTGCATTGCTGGTGGGAATGCAAGCTTGTACGACCCCTTTGGATGTCAGTGTGACGATTTCTCAGAAAATTAGGAAACAACCTTTCTCAAGACCCAGCAATACCACTTTTGGGTATATATCCAAAGGATGCTCAATCGTGCCACAAGGACATGTGATCAACTATGTTTATAGCAGCATTGTTTGTCATAGTCAGAACCTGGAAACAACCTAAATGCCCTTTGACCCAAGAATGAATAAGGAAAATGTGGTACATTTACACAATGGAGTACTACACAGCAGAAAAATATAACGACAGCTTGAATTTTTCAGGCAAATTGATGGAGCTAGTAAACATTATTTTGAGTGAGATAACCCAGACCCAGAAAGACGATTCTCATATGTACTTACTCATAGGCAGTTTTTAAACATAAAGCAAAGAAAACCAGCCTACAAACCACAATCCCAGAGAACTTAGACAACAGTGAAGACCCTAAGAGAGACTTACGTAGATCTACTCTACGTGGGAAGTAGAAAAAAACAAGATCTCCTGAGTAAATTGGGAGCATGGGGACTTTGGGGGAGGGCTCAGGGTAGGAGAGAAGCAGAGAGGGGAACAGAGAAAAATGTAGAGCTCAATAAAAATCAGTAAAAAATAATAAAGTATATTTTATAATAAAAAACCTTACCCTGCCCAAAAGATTCTTTCAGAGTGTATCGATGCTTCTGTCCTAAGTTGACAAGATTTTAATGATTTGATGATTTTAAGAAATGAGTTAAAAACTGATTATAAAATGTAGTGTTAGTGAGGCTTTAAAAGTGAATATCTATAACAATTAGGAATAAATATAAAAACATCAATACTCTATGAGTATCTAGAAAAAGAAGTCTTAAAATGTTACAAGGAAATGAAGTATATTCTGCAATATTAGTTGGTCTTTATGCAAAATATACCAAATTATATATTTGGTTCTTATGTTCAACAAAAGGTTAAATAGAGAAAATTATTATAAAAGTATTCATAAGGAAGCAAACACTATAAATAGAAATACTGTTATAGTATGATAGTGTAATAATGACAAAATCCTGGGTGGTTTTTTTGGCATGTTTTTATGTATTTTCCAGTTTCCCCATACAAAATAAAATTGTGCTTTAGTTTTTTTCATTTTTTCTATGTTCTAACAAATAATGACAGCAAATTAATATGTACTATCGTCAGTCAACAGGTAAAAGCACTGTGAAAAATTCTAACTATTCTGGTGTGCCAACTGAACAACTGTCTTTTGAAATCCTTTTATAAAATGTACCATTAGAATTCTGGGCACCCACACTCACCAGATGGCCCTGGTTACAAACACTGGGTCCCAAAACAAAACAAAAGCACACATAAAAATGGAAAGGGGCTGTGTAGGGAAGAGAGCGGCTGATAGGGGCAGAAGGGAAGGTGGGTGTAGAAGGCATTGTATACATGAATGAAAATGGAAAGAACAAACTTAACAAAGCATTCTGGGCATACTCAGTTTGGTTTCATAGTCAATATTATACAATCATTTGCAAAATGACAACTTTAAGCACCTCAGACTTCCCTTTAAAATCTGCAAATGGAGTATTTATAAAAACCTATAAAATGGAGCATTGCCTGCCAGTTGCCTGTGTATTTACTATGTTGTGATGTGGCTTTTAATACATTTTCCTCAAGTGGCCTATATATAAACCTATTTAATTTTCCCTCATGCTAAACAATAGCAAAGATTGCTGTGCAGCGCTTATTTTTCTTTTTATTTCATTGCACAAACTACTCCTTAAATCCCTCACCATGTATTAGTTCAAATAAATAGCCTGTAGAAAGTATTTTGCATTTATATTAGCTGGTTTGGGGTATAATATTGTAGTAGTTACTTTAGTCTAATTCTGTTATGCTGACATTTTTAGCATTATTTTAATTGTACGACCATAAAATAATTTTTCAGTCATATAAAAAAGATTAAGACTGGCAATAAAGATTACACATATTACTAATTATATTGCTATGAACTTTAAAGCTGTAAAATAACATTTCATTAAAATGCCAATAGTAATGCTTTAAGTGTAGATGTTTAGGTGATCCTAACTTGAAATTAAGCCCCCTTAGTCTGTATACAGTTACAAAATAGAAATCATAAAGAATGCTTTTAGTTTCACACATCTGAACAATTTTTCATTCTATGTAACCACATCAATTGTGTGTAATTGTAGAGCATTGTACAAATGAAGCACACCTCATCTTTTAAGTAAGGCACCTGGAATTTGAATTTAGTTCATTAACTAATTAATTTTTCACCTTTCAGCCACGGATGCTACATATATTTACTGAACTTCAGGAGTCCATGGGACATGGAGAATAAATGTTTTCTATGTGACCTCAGAGTTCTTGGAGTTCAAAACCTCCTGGGTGGAACTAATTTCGCTACAGCAACCATAGCAACCACAACAGCACCCCAAGCAGCAGGTACTGGTCACTGAGCTAGACAATTGAACAATGTGGACATCCTGTCACTGCTCTTGTTGCTCTTAATCTTTATTTAAAACCCAGGAGACAGGTACCTTTAGTGTCTCCACAGAACTATGTTGCCTGTACCTGGGATTCAGGAACATTAAAGAGCATGCCTTTTTCCCTCAGCTGGTAGGGGAAAGAATTAAAATACACAGCCTATCCCCTAAGCACAGTGACACTAGCTTTTGAGGGAACTATTCCAATTAGCAGAGTACAACGGTAGTTTCAGTAGTGTACTCAGTGAATTTTAAATGACATGCAAAAGTAGTTCTTTTTTATAAGCGTCTTGGAAGAGAATTGGATTATAAGCAAGGTGGTGCAAGGAGAGGCAGTCCTACGCAGAAGGAGAATGAAAGGGAGTGTCCTATGGGAAATAAGATGTAGTAAGAAGTGTGATGGTGGGGCTGATCTAATGGGAGCTCACCAAGGCCAGCTGGACTGGGACTGATGGAGCATGTGATCAAACCGGACTCTCTGAACGTGGCTGACAAGTAGGACTGACTGAGAAGCCAAGGACAATGGCACTGGGTTTTGATTCTACTGCATGGACTGGCTTTGTGAGAACCTAGCCTGTTTGGATGCTCACCTTCCTAGACCTGGATGGAGAGGGGGAGGACCTTGGACTTCCCACAGGGCAGGGAACCCTGACTGCTCTTTGGACTGGAGAGGGAGGGGGAGGGAAAGGGAAATGGAAGGAGGAGAGGAGGTGAACATTTTTAATAATAATAATAATAATAATAATTAAAAAAAGAAGTGGGAACAATGTTACAAATCTGTGTCCCTTAGAAGCCACCCAGATGCCTTTCTAAAACAGAACTGTCTTTTTCAACTGCTCTGTAATGGTAGAAGATTCACAATGGAACAGGCCCTATCTAAACGAATGGTTGGCCACAGGAAATTACAAGTTTAGCAGTCAATGGTAGAGATTGTGCCGGGTGCTATCTACACAACATCAGTTAACTAAGCAGGAAAGACTTTGTTTCCTGTGTGCAGGAAGAGTCAATAAACTGTGATAACGCACACCCAACCTCAATGGCTGACTTTTCCAGTCACCGACTGATATCAAAACAATAGAACAGCTCAGGGTGAAGCCCCTATCAAGCAACATTCATAATACTTAAATTTCCTGGGTTCTAAACATTCAAAGCATCTGCTCAATTTCTTCTATGAATACCCCAAATCTTTTCTGATATTTAGCGAGTTTAATTATAGGTTGCTGTTCATTTATCCACCAGTTCAATGCTTGCTTTTGAGAGTCAAGCATGTGGGCACTGAGCAACATAGTGAAGGGAGAGGGAGACTGCCATTTGTGTCTGAGTTCAACTGGCTTTGTCTAGTCTCACTTTGGCCAGGAAGGAAGAAAAGGAGATTACTACAGGCAAAGACCAAGTGCTTCGTGCTAGGTGCGTGGCTACCATGACCCTGGGTCACAACCCAGAGAAGAGACACAGCAGATATCTAAAAGAGTATATATGCTGTGACGGAATGAATGACTAGGTCATGAGATTACACTGTACTTGAGTGCCGTGGAGAAATCGAGGAGCTTTGGGAATCCGTAGACCTGACGCTGTTGCTCAGGCATAGGCAAATTACCAGCCTTTACATAGAAGGCTACAGTTGCCATAGTCTGCAGTATGTCTCACTGGACTGTCATTGAACCATTGAGAAAGAAGGAAATTTTGCTGTTGAAAATAATGAAAGGATCATATTTCCAAAATTCTGAACCATGTTTTAACAATATTTTCCCAATATACTGCTGTTGCAAACTAAAGTGTAAACAGCAAGTATCCATTTCCACATGCCTGGCAATTATATTACCCAAGGCCTGTTACAATTTGGGGGTTTTGCTTTTTTGATTTTACATGTCACGTCATGTCCAGCCATCTATAACTTCTTAAAAGTTATACTAAAAGCCAAGAAAAGAGAGGCAATTTGAATATAACATCTCAAAGAAAACGTCAGAAATGTAGAACGAAGGAGTTAGAGTTGTCTACTAAGAATCTAAAGTACTGATGATTATAATGAATAAAGCATTAGAGAGCCACAAGTGTAAG